AGGGAGTTGTCTAAGCTGTTTGCTGAGATAATCCTGCACCTAGAAAGACACCTGGCATACAATCACACTCAGTAATTTTACTGAATCGAATGGATGATTGGCATTTAATGCTTATGAAACTTGCATCTTTGCTACTTTTCATCATAAGTGGTAAGGGTATGTCCCACTCCCCAGTCCCAGAACCCGTCGCACTTTACCCCCAAGCGAATCTCCCATCTGCTTTCAAGGCCCCACACTGAAGGCGAAGGGAAACAAATGTGATTATTTTTCATCTCTACCATCCAAAAACCTACTACATTTTTAATACAAAGCATTATAATCAAGCGTTTCATTTACATTTCAGTTGAAATTAAATTCATTAAAATTTTAAATTATATTTCAATCAAGAATTTAGTAGGGCCGGGCGCGGTGGCCGCACGCCTGTAATCCTAGCACTCTGGGGAGGCCGAGGTGGGTGGTTGTTGAGGTCAGGAGTTCGAAACCGCCTGAGGCAAGAGCGAGACCCAGTCTCTGCTAAAAATAGAAAGATATTAATTGGCCAACTAATATACATAGAAATTAGCCGGCATGGTGGCGCATGCCTGTAGTCCCAGTACTCAGGAGGCTGAGGCAGGAGGATTGCTTGAGCCTAGGAGTTTGAGGTTGCTGTGAGCTAGGCTGAGCCATGGCACTCACTCTAGTCTGGGCAACAAAGTGAGACTCTGTTCAAAAAAAAAAGAAATTTTAGTGTGTTGATCAGAATCTAAGGATCCGACAAATTTCCTCAACCAAAATTATAAAAGATAACTAACTGAAAATAACAATACACAAAAATCCAAAATTGTAGAGTCCAAGAAAAGTTTTGTTTCGTTTCATTTGTTGTTTCTGTTTTGGTGTGTTAATATCTGTGCTTCTCTTTAGTGGGATTAAGTTTGAGAAACTGGAGATTTGGTGAAGCATTTGACATGTAATTCTAATCTGTCCTCTGTATATATGTATATTGATTACAGATCCATATAATAAATAGATTATATTAGATCCAGGCTTTCTAGAAAAAGCTAAATTGGCTAAAAGAGTTAAATTTAAATTTTGTCCTTTATTTTTGATACTATAAGACAAAGAGATCTTTCTGCTGTCACCAGTTAGAATTTATCAAAAGAGTTTTAAGACCAAAGATTTATATTTGCTATGGGCCATGCTAATGTCTTTAAAATGAAGGTAGGCCGGGCTCAGTGGCTCACGCCTGTAATACCTAGCTCTGGAGGCCTGAGGCGGGGCGGATTAGCTAGAAGGTCAGGAGATTCGAAACCAGCCTGAGCAAGAGCGAGACCCCTCTCTACTAAAAATAGAAAGAAATTAATTGGCCAACTAATAGATATAGAAAAATTAGCAGGGCATAGGTGGGGCATGCCTGTAGTCCCAGCTACTTTGGGGCTGAGGCAGGAGGATTGCTTGAGACCAGAGTTTGAGGTTGCTGTGAGACTAGGACTGACGCCATGGCCATCACTCTCTAGCGTGGGCAACAAAGCGAGACTCTGTCTCAAAAAAAAAACAAAAACAAAAACGAAAAAACCCTGAAGGCTAATCCCAGTGCTTGTAACTTGTGGTTGAAGAGATACACATATCTTCCCTATATATATTTTTAGTTGGTCAATTAATTTCTTTCTATTTTTGGTAGAGACAGGGTCTCGCTCAGGCTGGTTTCGAACTCCTGACCTTGAGCAATCCGCCCGCCTCAGCCTCCCAGAATGCTAGTATTACAGGCGTGAGCCACCACGCCAGGCTTAAAAGCTAAGACTCTTATAAAGACAAAATAGATTTTTTGTCTGAATTTAAATTTAATCACATAACACTGTGTTATTATAATCCATTTATATTTAGACTGATATGCTTCACTATTGTCTCCTCCAATAATGAAGGCAGATTAGTCCAAATATATTGCGTAAGGAACTGTCCTATTCTGATTACCATGACTTCAGTGTCTTTCACAAAAAATGTTTAATTGTTAATACTCAGTGCTTATTAGGGTAAAAGGAAATGGGTACTCTTAACCATTCTGATGAAAGTATAAATCGAAGCAATATTCCTGAGAGCTACTAGGCTTAGAGAGTTCTTTAAAAGTTCATACCCTTGATTCCAATAATTCTACTTATAGGAATCTAAGAAAATAATCAAGGTGTGGTTAAGTATTTTTGAACAAAGATGTTCACCAAAGCATCTCTTTAAAATAGAGAAAAAGTGTAAACATCCTGAATGCTCAACAATAGAAGAATAATTAAGATAAATGTTAAAAATCATTTTGGAAGAAATTATTTAATGGCACAGGAATATTTTGGGATATAAGTTTAAAAAGCAGAACAGTTTATAATAATATATAACATAATAATATAAAACAACATATTATGTAATATAAATATATAAGAAATATAAATAAATGTGACATAATATAAAATAATATATATACACACACACTACAATCCCAATTGTGTAAAGAAAACACTGTACATAAAATGCATACAAAAAGGAATGACAAAAAATACAGGAGAATATTAACTTCATATATCTGAGGGGTAGGAATTTTCTTTTCTATAATTTTATGTATTTTGTAGATTTACTATAATAAAAATGTTATTTTGATAATCAGGAAAAATGTTATAAAACAATAAAAAAATTTAAGATATTTAGTTTCACCCTGAAGTATAGAGTTTAAAGCATCAAACAGCAGATTGGAGTAGCCTGCACACAACTAATTCGCTTTCCCACTCTGCTCACTGCTTCCAGTTGCGTTTCTGTGACTGGGAGAAAGTAAACTGGTTCCTGATGTTATCAAATGCGAGGCAGATGAGAAAGGCGAGAGTCCCTGTCTCTTCCAGGCTCAGTGTTTGAGAGAGGACTATTTCCAACCCTGCATACATGAGTGGTCTACCTTCATATCTTCACTCACTCCTTCCTTACACTTTCAACTTCCCTGGGATCCACTAGTGTCATGCAACTCTAGTAGGCACTAGAAGTATGCAGACATATTTTTTTGCCTTCATGGAGTTCTTGTGGGAGAAACAGAGAAGAAACAGTAAAATAACACACCAACTGCTACTTTAGCCCAGACTGATTTCCAGGGAAGGTTTCTTGGAGGAGTTGATGTACTAATATATTTCAAATTAACTCCAAATGCACATGTATCTCTTACCCCTGCAGTCCTACAACATAGCTTAAAAATTCTTTTACTTGTCCTTAGTCAATTCCATCTCCCATTGTGCTCAGGGTGTTTTCCAAACCTTCCCCACTTTCCTCACCTAGCTCACAACTTTCTCCCCTCAGCAATCAAACCCCACTTTCAGAAAAAACTTGCACTCTTGTTTTTTGTGTGCCAATCAGAATGACATAATTGCCACTTCTCCATTTCTGCCTTTGCTACTAGGAAGCTCAGTGTTAAAATTAGAGCTCAATTGCTGTTTTATCTGATTCTCTGTCTCCTAAATGATTTGTAATTTTTAATAACAATGCCATTTTACTTTAAAGACTGATACCATCCTGTGTCAACTAACTCAACTTTCCCCAAACCCATTATATTTCTATATTTTTAGCTTTCTTCTGTCCTATGCTCTAGGAATTCACTTGAATTTCTAAGTACTCCAGGTGATCTCCAATGGGATTTCTTGGCTTGCCTTCCTGTCCTCTCTCTAATCCTGCTTTTTGGATAATTATTGTCTATAGACATGCAAATAACTGCCTAGTGGGCAGACAATCCTTCTCCTCCCCATTCTAACCATCTCCATGGCAAAAGCCAGTTTTGTAGTCATTTGTTAAATTAATTTTAACACTCCTTTACTACATACAAATTTGTGATTTTCTGGTTTTGGATGGGTCACAACATCTTTACAATTTCCTCAATAAATAATATATAATAATAATCTTTGACATGTTTTCACTTTATTTCTATCAGAGTCATGATTTTACCTGTTTAAAAAATTATTCTAGACACTTACATCAGTTTTTGAAAAATGAAGTCTATATTTTCCAGTTCTACTTCCTCACTTTCTATTCTACTTTCTAGTTATCCATTGAAATCTACCTTCTGCACACTGCCTTCTCTCCCCCAAAAACTATCCCTTACACTCAATACTATACTGAAATATTCTGAAAAAGGTCAAATACAGGAAATACTTCCTCAGTCTTATCTTTCTCTCATTTGCTGCATTTGATGCTATTAAAACTGAGTAATATTTACTGGTAGAAAGACAGTAATATTTACTGATAGAAATATTTACTATGTCTCATGGCCTCGTTTGAGCAACCAAAATTCCTATAGCCACAGACGTTTCTGACCAGTTCCTGTTTCAGTGTTTTATGGGAATTCTTTATTTTTTTCCTTTTCTCTAAGTCCTGGGGGAGGAAGCTGGAATTAAACAGTGCAGATGTCTATGTAACCACAATTGTCTCTCTCTTTCTGTACTTATAAAAGTGCCTCATCCTGGTAGGGAGAACTTCCTAGTTATACAGCTGAACAACTCTGAAGCTTTATATCTTCTAAAAATAGTGTAGTCTTTTCCCATACTCTCTTGCAATATTGCTCTTAAAGAAAAGAAAAGAAAAAAAAAAAAACTCCTTTAGTTTTAATGACCTCTTGCAGATGAATTTCCCCGGAGCTCAGTTCTCAGATCTGTTCCTTATTTATACTCACTCTTGTAAGGTTTTTCGGTGGTGGCGAAAAGAAAAGAGACACAGAAAGAGAAAGAGTGGGGGGCCAAACCACGTGGCTTTATTATACACTTGTGGAGGAGGTTCTGGGGCCCCAAGGGTGGGGGCCCGGGAAGTCGCCGCAGTTTGAAGGGGCTGAGGCCTTTTATACCCTTTGGGCGGGGCTAGGGACTTGTGGCGGGAAGAGCTGGGATTCTCCATTGTGACCTTGGAAGGTCGTTGAGAAATAGGAGGGGCTGGAGGTATTGTGGAATCCAGGAGCAAATCCAGGTGGAGATCTGGGTGTGGTTCCTCTCAGTGGGGCCTGGCAGTTTGTCCTTGGCTGGTCAGGTCACTAAGCGTTTTCTTTTTCCATCTAGGGAGGGGAGGGGGCCCCTGCCACCAGCCTTACAACTCTTAGGCGATTTCATCTAATCTTAAGGTTTTAAATGCAGTCCCTACACTGAAGGCTATGAAATGTGTATCTCCAACCCAGATCGCTCTGTCAACTGAAGAAAACGATGAGGTTTATAATTTGGAAAGGAGAGCTTTATTTCTTACGAGGGTTGCAGCCTGTGGGTGCCCATTCCGGCCTGCTGAAAAGCTGAGCCCCGCCCCAGTGCCCCAGGACACTTGCTTCCAGGGAAGGACGATGGGAACAGGAATTTACGCCGAGGGGTGTGGCCAAATATACATACTTAACAAGCTATAGGAGTCATGAATATTTATGAAAGGAGAACCGTGCACATGCGCAATTGAGCTTCCTGCGCCTTCGTAGGTTGCATGTGTGAAGAATGGTGGCCTTAGCATAACTCCCTGGTGGAGTTTTTGGCCCTCTGATGTCAAAAGGTGAAGCAGAGGACATGAAAACCCTTATAGTGCATCCTCCGTAGCCTAGTTAGAACCACTCCTTGGTTGGTGGCCCCTTAGCAGGAAGGAATGCTGGTCGGTTGTTGTGCCAACACTGCAAAAAGGGAGAAGCAGAGTTAGGCTACTGATTGAAATCAGCGGTGCAGCAAGTCTTTTCAAAAGGGTGGTTTCATCACTCAACCTTTCTGTGTCTGTTTTCTTATTCATAAAATGAGGAGAATAACAGTACCTTTCTCATAGCCTTGTAAGGACTAAATAAGACATCGCATATAAAGTGCTTAGAACAGTGCCTGGCACATAGAATATGCTCAGTAACTGTTAGCTATTCTTGTGTATAGTGGGTATGGTGGTATCTGTTCAAGACCCCTTCTTCAAGCACGTGCTCAGCTGTCTGCTGCCAACTGCACCCCACCCTGGGAACTGCCCTTGGCTTCAGAGACCTGCTTCAGAGAAACGTTTTGACTGGCCCCCAGCCCCCTCTCAGGAGCCAATGGTAAATGATTGGCTGATGCAAAGATACAAGGGTTCCACCCCATTGCCTTAATTGGAACAACTCTAAATGTCATTTCAGCTCCACAGGTCCTTTTAGGATCAACTGAGTCTTGGGGGCAACTGCATTGCAGGTCAGCATCTTTTGCCCAAACCTGCCTCCCTTCCAGATGTATTCCTCAAGAACACTCTCCAACAGACTTGATGCAAACAATTTTCTGTCTCAAATTCTATTTCCAGGGAACCCAATTAAGGCATTAAATGAATCTCTCAACAATCCTTATGGGACAAACATCTAAATCTTTAGGACCGCGCATGAGGTTCTTCATGAGATGACCCCATTGTCTTCCTCTTACCCTCATCTCTCACAATTCCCCATCCTGCACCTTTTCCTCTAAGGCACTTTCCACAGTGTTCACTGCCTTGCTCAAGTTTGGTATATGCTGTAGTTACAACATACTTGTGATTTCTTCCTGGCTCATTCCTGCTCATTCTTGCAGACTCAGGTCTTTTCTTCCGGAAAATCCAAATCCAGGCTTAATCCAGTCTGAAAGTCCCTCCTCTGTGCTTTTATAGAACATCATGTTTACTTGTATCAAATTAGTTACTATATTACATTAAAATTGTACAGAATATTAATACTATGGCAATGGTTTGATAGTTATAAGGAGGTCTACTAATTCAGCATATAGAGAATTGCTTAAAGATTTATTGTTTGGGGAGGAGGAAAAAAGAATTAGTATCAAATTTATTTATCAGCTACAAGTCTTTCTTATTTGTTTGTTTATTTATTTATAGAGAGAGATAGGATCTCGCTCCGTTTCCGGGCTGGAGCCTAGTGGTGCAATCACAGCTCACTGGAACATTAAACTCCTGGACTCAAGTCATTCTCCTGCCTCAGCCTCCCAAGGACTACAGACATGCACCACCACACCCAGCTAAATTTTTTTTTTTTTAGAGAGATAGGATCTCACTATGTTGCCCAGGCTGATCTAGAACTCCTAGCCTCTAGTGATCCTCCCACTTCCGCCTCCCAAAGTGCTGGAATTACAGATGTGAGCCACTATACCTGGCTTTATTTTATTTAATCAAAATTAAGTCTTGTACCGGTCTTATCCACAAGAATGTTTTGGCTCTCAGTATTACCAAACACTATTCTCATAGCAAAATAAAGTAGTTTCTAAGGAGTAGATCTTGGAAATAAATATATCTTTTGCTTGTGAGGGCTGTGGAGTTGGGAGGTGTCAGATGATGAAGTGAAAATCCCTGCTTTTGATGAGAAGAATATAGTGAAGACAGTGCATGAGGATAGAGTTTTGATCATTGATTTGGGCAGAAATGGGATGGATGCTTATGTCACCGGTGTACAGGTTCTTGCTTACATCACAGAAAGGAATTTCAGGACATGCACACAACCGAGTGATGGTGGCAAGTTTACTGAGTGAAAGTGGACTGGCTGAGGACAGGCTTGTGCAGAAGCAAAAGTACACTCCCCGGAAGGGGAGTGGGCAGACTTGGAAAGAGAAACTGCCCTGCACCCCGAGTGGTTGCTATTTTTCTTTGTTGGAGTCAAAGAAGGCTGGGCGGTCAGTGTTCATTATGTTCTTATTCATAGTTCCCCTGTTTTTCCCACAAGGGGTCAAAACCACAGTGTTAACTTATTGCACTTGCGATATAGTGGGGGAAAGGTCCTTTTGTACCTGTGCAACACTGGGGAATGAATGGCTCTTTTCTTAAGACTGTTTGTTCAAGGGCTGTTTGTTCTAGCCAGTTGACTAATGTTTCCATTCCCTCCTCCCTTGCTCATACCTAACTGACCACCTGCTCTAACACTTACAGTTGGTATGCTATAGTCTTCCTTTTCTGATGATGTCCCAAAAAGCAACCTAACCTCTGCGCCCTATACAGAAGCCTTGGTGAGGATCAAAGAAGAGGTGCCTAACCTTACATCTTTTGCCAGTCCATTCATCCTAACAAAGAATGTGCAAATGATACTTTACTCCCTCGGTTCCAGGGGATGCAGGATAAGGCAGGTATTTGGTAGTGCTTCTACTCTTTCCCTTTTTCTTTCCCTCTTTTATTTCTTTATTCTTTTGTGTGGTGTGTCTAGTATTAAATTGGTAATTAGAATAGGTAAGGAAAGATTGGCTTGACAAGCTTCATACATCCTTAATCCTGTGGCTCAGAGGCACTGCAGAACATTCGAGCAAAAATGTGACCTCCTTGGCTCTTTGCTCCAAATGGCAGAACACATCTAACAGCAAGTCCTGAGCTTTATACATTTATAATCCAGTCACTGAGAAGCTGAATTAGCTCTCTTGGTCTCCAGTTCATTGGCCCATTGGCCCAAAGTGGGCCAGGTGCCCACCTGTGGTCCAGTTGCTTATGGCTAGGGCACTGAGTTGCAGAGTATTCATAATATAGATGAAGTCAGCAGTGACAATTTCTGGAATAAAGGGAAAGGAGCAGAGAATACTGTAGGTATCCACTGCATTGTTACAAGTGTTCTTGCAAAAAATGTTTGAGATGTTTCCACAATGTTTATCAGATATGAGTTAAAATGAGAAGATCCACCCATATCAAATTTGTGTATTTCTGTTTTCTCTATATTTATTTTTTATTTTATATTTATATGTAGAATCTCTATATTTAGGATATTCAAAGAGATTCTAACTTCTTGTATTTCACGTGGCAAATCTTGCCCTTTGCAAAGGAATGTATAACTTGGTGAGTTGGTGGGGAAATTTTGTTTGTTTCTTTTTCTCTATATTTAGATTAGGAGAAAACTGCAGCTATAATACATCAGGAATTGCATAGGGTATTTTTTGAGACAGAGTTTCACTCTGTTGCCTGGGCTAGAGTTCCATGGTGTTAGCCTAGCTCACAGCAACCTCAATCTCCTGGGCTCAAGCAATCCTTCTGCCTCAGTCTCCCGAGTAGCTGGGACTACAGGCATGCACCACCATGCCCAGCTAATTTTTTCTATTTATGGTAGAGACGGGTCTCGCTCTTGCTCAGGTTGGTCTAGAACTCCTGAGCTCAACAATGCGCCTGCCTCGGCCTCCCAGAGTGCTAGGATTATAGGCATGACCCACTGTGCCCAGCCAGCATGGTTTGACAGTTGATGTTTCTATATCTTTCTGCTGATTAGTAAACTTTCAATATTTGATTTTTGGTAAATGTAAATCAAAATTTTCTGACATCTCTATGAATACATATGCTTAATGTCTAAGTCAGCCTGGCAAGTAGTAAAAAAGCATCACAACCACAAACAAAAACAAAAATAGTCAGATTGCTCTCTCTCCTGCTAGGAAACTTGTAGATAATAAAATAAAAATAGGCCAGGTGCAGTGGCTCAGGCCTGTAATCCTAGCACTCTGGGAGGCCGAGGCAGGAGGATCCTTTGAGCTCAGGAGTTTGAGACCAGCCTGAGCAAGAGTGAGACCCCATCTCTACTAAAAATAGAAAGAAATTAGCTAAACAACTAAAAATATATAGAAAAAATTAGCTGGGCATAGTGGCGCATGCCTGTAGTCCCAGCTACTCAGGAGGCTGAGGCAGAAGGATCGCTTGAGTCCAGGAGTTTGAGGTTGCTGTGAGCTAGGCTGACACCACGGCACTCTAGCCCGGGCAACAGAGCAAGACTCTATCTTAAATAAATAAATAATCATCTTACTCAACATGAGCAGGTGTATTCTTCCATAAAGAGTAGCAAACTGGGACTTAGAGTCTTTATGATCCAGTCACTACTAACTAACTGTGACACTAGACAAGTCACAGTTGGCTTCAGTTTTCCCATTTATAAAATAAACTGATTAGAATAGATGTTTATGGTTCCTTCCAACTTTAGAAATTTCATTCCACTAATTGCGAGTTTCAGAACTCGCAATTAGGTAATTATTTGCAGGACAAATAGTATAAGGACAGGAAAGAAAATAGTAAAGAATGTTTAACTGCCCGAAATACAACCAGACAAACTTAGCAAAGCAAAACTGGGTTTACTAGAAGTCACTGCAGTCAGGGAGAATAGTACCTCCATGGAACCAACAGGGAGGAGTCAGAATTATATAAGATCTGGGGAATCTTGGCTTAAGGGGTTTATGGCAGATGTTGAAAAGTGGGGGAAAGATTGGGATTGGGCAAGTTTGTGACATAATAGTTTAGGGTTGGGGGAGGGGGGGAAATGGGCATTTATTGAAACCTTAAAATCTGTACCCCCATAATATGCCGAAATAAAAAAAAATTGAGAGTATAAATAAAATATTTATAAATTTTAAACAAACAAAAAAAAATAGTTTAGGGTTGATAGACATAGTGAAGTGAGAATCTTAAAGTGAGTTTTGATAAATAGACCATGATTTGATAAGAAAGTTTTGTCCAGGTAAGCAGACTTCTTTCAGATAATTTGATTTGCAGGGATTTCCCAAAGCAAACAGTGAAATTATTTATTGGCTTATGATCTTACCTTCTCTGGACAAATTTTCCTGGAACTAATAACGAAATCATGTTGACACAGGTATTCTCTGTTCTTAGGCCTTGTAGCTATGTGGTGCGGGTGCTGGTGGCTGCAGTTTTCTTGAACGTTGAGTTGATATAGAAGAAAATAGCCTGGAGCAGAGAAACGTTTCGTGAAATCTCCACTTCTGGCCTGTTTAGAGTTCCATACTCAAATATTCTCCTTCCTACTTGACATTGTTTCTTGCATATATTATATATTTCTCAGATTCCAAATAGAACAAATAACAAATTCCAAAAAGAACTCCCCCTAGTATTCTCCATCTCAGTTAACCATCCACCCAGTTATTTAAGTCAAAAAACCCGGGACCCTCTCTTTCCCTCATACCCCATGTGCTATAATAAGTCTCGTTGGTTGGATCTCCAAAATATCTAACAAATTCAATCACTTAACATCTTCAGTGTTAAAACCTTAGTTCAAGCCATCCTTATCTCTTGTCCAGCTACAAGAGAGCCATTATATTATCATTTATCACACTGGTCTTTTTTTTTCCTAGAATGTGCCTATTTATTCCCATATCAGGACTCTTGTCTACCTCGTGTAGGTCACTCTTCCTTCAGATCTTCCTGTGGCTCCTTCTCATAGTTGAAATCTCATTATTGAAATCCTGTATTTTGTCAGAGAGGATTTTCCAGAATCGCCCTAACTGAAGTTGGCATCTCTCCCCCATCACTTTATCCCATTGCCACATTTTATTTATTTTATAGTAGTTGGCAATTTCTAAAGCTATATTATTCTACACTCTGCTTCCTTGTTTCCTGTTTGTCTCTGCTCAGTGAATATGAACACCATCAAGGGAGAGATGTCACCTACTATCTACCAGGCTCTTGTGTCCCTGCTGCCTTGAACAGAACCTAGCACATAGTAGATTCTCAAGAAATAATTTGTAAAATGATTCAAGAGGAAATTTTCAGCAAAAAAATGCATGAATGGATGGATGGAAGTATGGTTTAATATATGAGTTATTTCAAAAGTAATAACCATTTAGTGATAATATAGTCAAAGATGCTAAGTATATAATTTCTCTATCCTTATTAATGACTTAACTTACTTATCTCATCATTTAAATTATGTTCAATGTCACTTTCATCTGGTGAATCCCAATGTCAAGTAATGAAATTTTTTTCATGATGGAACTAAGTACTATCAAATTCATAATATGTATTTTTATTGGACTACTTAAAGAGGCCATAAAAGGAGAATTGTTAATGATAAGAGGCTCAGGAAACATCTGAATGTTTAAGTAGCTTAGAGCTGTAATCAAAATTACTAGGAAAGCTTGCCTTAAAATTTAAAAACATCTCCAATGTAATAGTATATATTTGTTTATTTATGCAGATGCTAAATGTTAAAATAACTTTCTGGGGGTTCACAAGTATACTTAAAATACTGTTTCTTTATCTCAGAATAGCAAAAATGAATTTTAGTGATTAAAATAAAATATACTAAGTGCATATACTAATATATGCAATTTACTCATGCAACTTAAAGGTTGGTTTTCAGGTGCTGGTGGGGAGAGGCTCCCCCAGGTAGTAACTCTGGGAAGTAGCCTTTGTCTCACTTAACATTTGGTATAACTCAAAGTCCTTGAGTTATACAAGCCATGAAACCATAGTGTCACAGTGCCAGAAGGTGAGTGCTATTGAAGGTCTAGAAAACAAGCTCAAGGATGAGTCTGAGAGCTGATGGGGAATTTAAGAAGCTTGTCGGCTTCATTTAAGCTTCAATAGAGTGAGAGCATAGTTTTTACTCTGCAGAACTAGGCCAGAAACTCCTTAACACATATTCATTCAATATCTACTGTCTTCTAAACACTGAGCTGGCAATGAGAATATAAAGATTAAAAAAAAAAAAAAAGCTTTAGTCATTGCCCTTCAATTTTGTAGTAAGTGACCATACAATTGGAGACCTAAGCAGCAGCGTGGCATGATTAGATTTTCATTTCATAATAGTTGGTCTATGGGAATTTTAATTTTAACTTTTTTGAGACAGAGTCTTGCTTTGTTGCCCGGGCTAGAGTGCTGTGGCATCAGCCTAGCTCACAGCAACCTCAAACTCCTGGGCTCAAGCAATTCTCCTGCCTCAGCCTCCCGAGTAGCTGGGACTACAGGCATGCACTACTATGCCCAGCTAATTTTCTCTATATATTTGTAGTTGTCCAGCTAATTTCTTTGTATTTTTAGTAGAGATGGGGTCTCACTCTTGCTCAGGCTGGTGTTGAACGCCTGACCTCGAGCAATCCTCCCACCTCAGCCTCCCAGAGTGCTAGGATTACAGGCGTGAGCCACCATGCCCCTCCAGTCTATGGGAATTTTAAAGCATGATTATAGGTAGGAGGTTGGTAGTGGAGGTTAGAGGCAAAGAAACTGAGAAACCATTTATAAGGCTGTTTCCATAAACTAAGCCAAGAGATGATGGTGGCCACAATTAAAAGAGCCACAGTAGAGAGGGAGCTACTCCATTGGAAATACTAAGGGTATAGAATTGGCAGAACTCAGTAAATGATTTCTTATTTTTGTTTTGGAGACAGGGTCTTGCTGTGTTGCCCAGGCTGGTCTCAAACTCCTGGGCTCAATCAATCCTTCCACCTCAGCCTCCCAAGTAGCTGGGACAACACTTCAGTAAATGATTTGATAAAAGGAAGCACTAATCAGGGAAAAGAAGGAGTAGAGGTGGAAAACTGTTTGGCAGAGAAAAGATGAAAGTTCATCAGGAGGATTTTGGCTTTTACTTATTTTTGAAGCTTTACACTATGTAGTTTTTGCATTTAACATTTATTCCAAATAAGCATTTAAAAGAAATCTCTACTGTAATTAATTTCTTCCAAAAAATTTTGCTCCTGCTGTAAAGTATGTTTGTGATTAGAACTGTTGCTGATTACAAATTTCCTTATTGTTCTACTTAACATTTTAAAGGAAGTTAATTAATGTATTTAACAAAAAGATTGGTAAAGATACTTTACATGAGTACACTAAGTAAACTCTATGTGGTTGGCAATGCATAGTTCTCAGATTTTAAAAGAATTCTCCAAGTGTGAATTCATGGGTAGTGGTGACAAGTCCACCCACATTGGTTTTATACAGACAAACTCTAAACTATCCGTATTAGAAATGTTTTAACCATAATCTTTTCTAATTGTTATGTTCTTTAAAAAGTAGCATTCAATTAGACAAATAATTACATTCAGACAATTCTTTCAAATTTCAGCTATAAAATAATTTAGTCTCTAAGATAAAAGAATAAAATTATGACTTTTCTTCTTAAAAAAAGCAAAGAAAGAAAACTGATCTTTCTATTTTAGCCATAGGTATAGAAAAGTGATCAATATTATTATTTAAAATATTTCCCAGTGGACTTTCTACATGAAGCCATGATTACTCAAAATAAATCTCTGACCACATCTACTTACATTGAGCAGTGTTTTTACAGTTTTTGAATCATTTCAATCGGTATTTTATAATGCAATGACTTTATAAGTCCTTGCTCATTAAAAAGATTTTCTAAATAAATGCTCAGATGTTTACGTAATTAGTGTATAGCTAATACATTAGGGCAATAATGAAGTGAAGCTCATAAACTTGGAAATAGGGTTGTCAGTTAATTATAAATTTTTAAGATCTATAAGAAACACACTTATACATATGCAAAATCATCTTTTAAAGACTGCCTCATTGCCTGAGGAAACCCTGGGTAGGGTCTAATTGATTGCGTTAATATTTTCAAAAGATAGGGATTAATATACATGTACAAATATGACAATAAAGGCAAGCCAGGTGCCCAGTATTTAGTTTGTCTCAGTCCACAGAGAGTGCACAAAGGGATCCAGTCTGCAGGGGCCTGTTGGGCAGCTCCAGAATGTTCTGTGGGAGGGACCTATGGGAGACAATCCCCCACACCACGCAGATCTAGGAGTCTATTTTGAAACTGCATTTGCAAATAAGCACAATGATTTCATTTCAATTTTACAGTTATTTAGGTTACTTTAGGGGTGATGAAGGAGATTTGGGAGAGGGTAATGGCTCCTCAAGACATCCTTTGGTGCTACCATTGGCTATTCCTGTGTCGTATTGGAGAGCTGCCTGTCTTAGGATACCTTGGGAGCACTGGAATTGAGAAGAATATGCCTCTCCTAGATTAAGAAAAAGAAAAGACAAAACAATGTGGTTCAGTTTACGATACCTGCTATAGCAGTTACTGGCATGATACTTTCACAAAATTAAGCAATCTTTTTGAATTTCAGTTTGCTCATCTGTAAATGGGTATAATTATATCTTGATCAAGGATTTGGCTATGAGGATCAAGACTCAATGTGTAAAAATTCCTACTACATATTATAGCAAGCAATAAATAAATGCTAGCTATTATTATAATACCATAATGCATTAAAGTGATTTTGTCACTTAAGTGATTTTGTCAACCAAGAAATATTTCTTGAATATCGTATTAGTTTCCTATTGCTACCATAATAAAATATCACAAATTTACTAGCTTAAAACCATATAAATTTATTATCTTATAGTTCTGGAAATCAGAAATCCAAAACAAGTGTTACTGGGCTAAAATTAAGGTGTTATGAGGGCTGCATTCCTTCTGGAGGCTCTATCTGTTTTCTTGCTTTTTCCAGCTTTTCAATGCTATCCTTGATTTGTAGCTCCCAGCAAGCAGTCATACCATGAGGACCCTCACTTCTGCCCTCAATCATCTCTGCCTCTGACATGTCTGCTTTCCTCTGATAAGGGTCCTTGTGATTACATTGGGCCTACTGGATAATTCCAGATGATCTTCCCATCTCAAGATCCTTAACTTAATCATACCAGCAAACTCCCTTTTGCCATGTAAGATAATGTATTCACAAATGTGTTTGTCATGGTTCTCCAGAAAACAGAACTAACAGTATATATATAAATAAGGGGTGGCTATAAAGGGGGAGAGAGAGATAGAGATGGATAGAGATGACAGAGAGAGAGAGAGAGAGAGAGAGAGAGAGAGAGAGAGAGAGAGAGAGAGAGAGAGAGAGAGAGAGAGAGAGATATGCACTGAGAGCGAAATTGGCTAATGTGATTATGGAGGCTGGCAAATTCAAAATCTGCAG